TGGGACCCTGGGATCACACCCTGAGTGGAAGGCAGACACTCAACTGACCAAGCCACCGAGGTGCTCCTAACATCAGCTTTTTAAATGAGGTACTTGGCATCATCCTTTGACAGAGCTTTCATATCAGCGTGTTTGATCATTGCGCCAGGCCGACCAGCCAGTCAGTATGTCAGGTCAGCGAAGAGAAATTCAAGGCCAGGCACGTGGTAAGTGGCAAGTTAAGCCGATGGTCCGCAGAAGCAGATGACAGAGCCATCCCCTGGACCACTGTAACTGGAGCGCGCGACTGCTGGTGGTCAGGCTTCGCGTATCCTCCCATGGGATGCAACACCTGCCGTGTCCTGAGCCGGGATACCTCCCTGCTCTCCTGGCCTAGTCCAGTCCAGGTGAAGGATTCTGGGTCTGGAGCAGTGGCCTCTGCAGTGCAGAAGCTGCGAGGACATCGCGGGCTTCCTTCTGATTAATACCGACAGGCCTTTGGACTACTCAGGCAGCCTCCTGAGGCTGGAGCGGAGGCTGCTCCCTTCTGGCTCAGCGCTGCTGTTCTTCCCCCACCCCTGCTTCCCATGTGCAGCTTCTGATTTGATAGCATTTGAGGGAAGAAGTGTCTTTCCTCTCTGCAAATGGAAGATCAGTCCTGTCCAGATTCCAGCTCTTCTTCGAATTTTAGCATCCTTGCCTATTATGACCTGCAATGTCTAGTGTACCTTGGGGTCTTTTAAATTAGTTTTAATTATTCAAATATTACATGAAAGCATTCTCCTTATTGAAAATAAATCAAATGATAGAGATCTCAACCAAAAACCAAACTCTCCTCCATTCCAGCTCCAGTTCGTGGAGACAGTGTGAATATCACTCTGGCACGTCTTTGGCTCTTTTTCCTTTTTTTTATTATTATTTTTTTTATTTTATTTATTTATTTATTTATTTATTTATTTATTTATTTATTTATTTATTTATTTATTTTGGCTCTTTTTCCAATGAACATACACACACACACATACACACACATTGATATGTGTGTATGCATATTCACACCTCCTTATGTAGTTTTTGGGTGTGTGTTTACACAGTGACATCATGTTGTGTGTACACCTTAATCTTTTCATCATCTTGGAGATCTTTCAAAGGTGGTTCATTTTCGAAGTCGTGGTTTTTTTAACTGTTACAAAATACTCCACTATAGGCATTTACCCTAACTTGTTTCCACTCATAGGAGTGATGGTATGATAAACATCCTTATTCATTTCTCTTTGAGTATATGTTTAAGTATTTATCCAGAATATAGTAATTACATTGTGGACTCATATTATAGGCATTTAACGATTAAAATGCATTCTTACAAATTGCCAGTCACAGGATTATCATATTATCATTCCTCTGAACAGTGTACAGAGGTTATCTATTGTACGTGTACTCTCTTGATGTTATCAACCCTTTTGCTTTTTGCCAATTTGATAGATAAACATTGGCATCACATTCCTTGTGCATTTCATTGCATTTTCCTAGATACTAAAAGGTTGAGCACCATTAAATATGTTTTTTAAAGGTTTTATCTATTTATTCATGAGCGAGAGAGAGAAAGAGGCAGAGACACAGGCAGAGGGAGAAGCAGGCTTCCTGTGGGGAGCCCAATCAGGACTCGATCCCAGGACCTCGGGATCACAACCTGAGTTGAAGGCATACGCTCAACCACTGAGCCACCCAGGCTCCACTCAGATATGTTTTTAAAGTGTTGGTCAAGTTCCAGTTGGGATATTATTTAAGATAGCATCAAATTAGTACATTACTTTGGGGTAAGTGGTGTCTTAAAGATTTTGAGTGTTTCTATCTGGAAACAGTACGTTTCTGTGTCTTTGACACTTCTTCTATGTGCTTTAATAAAATTTATCTGCCTTATTGAGCACCACTCCCACCAAAGAAAGTGATTCTCTAATTGATTGTATTTCTGTCATTTTAAAATTTTATTAAAATTTGCTCTTATTAGTAAATGAGTCCATTAATTTTGGATTCATTTAATTATTCATTTTCTAACTTATTAAGTTGAAAGTTTAGTTCATTCTTTGTCAATACTTATATTTCTTAGTGAATGCTCTAAGGGTGTATTTCCACTGAGTACTGCTTGGACCACCACCTGTAGATTTGGCATTTACTACTCTCAATACCAATCCTTGCTGAAGAACGTTTTAGTTCTCATCTTGATTTCCTTGTCCCAATACTATTTTTTAAATTTCCAATCTTATTCTGGCCAGTTTGTTTTTCATTTCTACTTTCTGTTCTCCTCCAGTTGTGCCTTTATCACTTCTGTTTCCTTTGAGATTTATTGAGCTTTTCTTGTTGCCTAATGTGTAGTGTGTAAGGCTGTTCCTTGAGTTTGAAAATAATTTATGATCTTTTTTATATGGACACAAAATTTCTTTTATCAATAATCTCTCTGCTACAGTAATTTTTTTAGTTACTTGATTTGTCTATTCTGAAAGTGGTATGCTGAAGTCTCTCACTATAATTGTGATTTTGTCGATTTCTTCTCATATTCTAAGTGTCCTTTGCTTTATACCTTTTCTGGGCCATGTTATTATATGCATAAAGGTTTATGACTCTTATTTCCTCATGGTGAACTGGATCTTTCCATACTATGAAGTATCCCTGTTTGGCCCCTTTCGTCTTTTTCAATTTAAATTCTGTTTTGTTTGATGCCATTATTACTAAACTTACATCCTTTTTGTTAATATTTGCCTGGCACCTCTTTTTAAAACCTTTTGATTTTTCAGCTGTTTGTTTTAGGTGTATCTCTTGTATCAGACTATTGATAGGAATTATGTAATTCAAGGTGAAGTTCTACATCTAACAAGGGATGTGAATCCATTTATGTATATTGTGATTGATGATGTTATTATACTTACTATGTTTATCTATGTGTTTTATTTATTGTACCTGTGGCAAAAAACCTTCAGCATTGTATTCCCAGAGCCAACCAGGGGGCTGGCCTCAAAACAGCAGATGTTCAGCAAATGCTCATTGGATGAAAACTTCCTTAAGCCCTTTATTCTGATCTGATTTGACAGATTATGGGAAAATAACTCCATTGTAATGGGGTTGGGACTAAAGTCCAAAGTATTGGCAAAAGAAGTTTCAAGAAGGTTTTAGTTACATTTTTAAGTCTAAGGGATTTTTCCTATTCATGTAGATTTAACATCAAAGATTTTGAATTTTCAAAAAAAAAAGAAAAAAAAAAACAAAGATTTTGAGTTTTCTCTAAATGTGAGGTCTGTTATTAGTGGTAGTGGGGGGTAAAGAGTAAGTAAAGGTTTTAGAATTGGAGGAGGTAATCCAGGCTGTCATCTGTACCAGCCATGCTGCCTGGGTGGGTGTACACCCAACATTTCCCAGCAAAACTCCATCACTGTTTCAGTTCTGGATTTGGATCTCACATATATTGATATTTCCAGCCTCATCTACCAGAGTACCGGATAATTGATTTACTTTTGAAAAAATAGTATTATGGCAACATTAACTTTATTGCAGACTGCTCCCCTGGAGGAATTACTAGGCTGGAGAAAGACAAACAGATTTAATGGAGAGGTATATAAAAAAATGAAGTTAGGATGGCTCACAACGTAGGACATCATTTTCTTACCTTAATTGACAAAGAAATTGAAAACATAAAAGGAGCATATGTTCCATCACAGTGAAAAGGATACTAGACTGGAATCAAGGGCCTCCCAGATTTGGCTGTGCCAGTTGGGCTCATCAAAACATCTCCGGAAATCCCTTTCAGTACAAAGGAGCTGGATTAGTTGATCTCTGACATTTCTTCCAACTGTAAAATGCTTCCAGTTTGTGTCTGGAAAAATCTTCCATGAAACTCTGGTGACAGTTAACCCAACCGGTGCCCTTAAAATTCTGTCGTGATCTCCCTGCAACTCATACCAGGTTCATCTTACTTGGTGATTGATTATAAGCCATGCAGATTTCATAGCTTTGAGTACCGTGTTGAGCATTGATGTGTTTCTCTAAGCTTTTACATGGTAGCCAGTTACTGGGCTGAGAGGATAAAGCCCTGTGGCTTCTCCAGTTGCTTCGCCTTGTTTAGAGCTGCACTCACCCCAGTGATTCTTTGGCACTCGGAAGAAAGGACGCAGGTGACAGATGGACAGAGCTAAACGCAGCTCCTCTAGCTGGACACCAAAGGTTCCCTCCGTAGTGCTGAACCCAGGCTATCCTCTTCTCCCTTCCTCCCTGAAATAACATTATTTTGCAGTAGAAGGTGAACTACAGAATTCTCTTTTCTGCCTGAATATCAGTTGGAAGCTTGGAGATTTGATCCAACCTGGGAGTTCAGTGAATCTACAGAAGTAGAACCCAGCGTCCCACCTGGTGATTTGACTGAGCACAGACTGCTCTGTGCTGAGGCTAAGGACTAGGGTTAAGATACCAAGATACAGCTTGGCAGAGCAAATGGATTTTCATAGCCTCCTCTTCTCCATCTGCGTTTTCTTCCAATTTACTACAAAATTGGTGTTGGCCTCAATACTGTTTGCTCTTCCCAGCCATCCTCACGATTCCTACCTCCTTGATGGATGTTGATATTTTGAAGAGTGGTTTTCAGTTATTCTTGGAATATAGGGGTTCCACTAAGCAAGCCCTTTAAAACCTTTTGGGGGCAAGAAGAGAGCAGATAGTGGGTGGGGCTAGGACCCTCTAACATGTGTACACTGGGAAAAAGCCTGGGAAGGAGTTCGACTTATTTTAACTTGAGTTTAACTTCTATGAGTGGAACTAGAGCTATTTCCCTACAGCCTTTCCTTAAAAATGGCCATAATTAAGTATGTATTATAAAAGTGAATTGTCTGAGTTCTGTTCATACAAGATGGCTTCTGCCCCCTGGGAGGACTATGGCTTTCAGGGGTCATGGTGCACCAGGCGCCATGCTCCTCGTGGCACAGCACCTCCCCTGGTCCTGGCCAGCTCTTCCTAACCTGATGTCTCTCCCCTCCCAGAATGGCTGCAGTCTGTCCAGGCCACCATGATCCTGTCCATCATCTTTAGTGTTCTGTCGCTGTTCCTGTTCTTTTGCCAACTCTTCACCCTCACCAAGGGGGGTCGGTTTTACATCACTGGAGTCTTCCAAATCCTTGCTGGTAAGTTGGAAATGAAGTTCATGGGGGAGACTGTGCCTGTCCATGTCCATGGCTGGGGAATGATCAGTTAGTAAAGGGACACGGCCCCAGAATGACTGATATTTGAGTGTACCTTGGATGGTTTTTATAAAGTACAGGTGGGTGACTATGTGCGTTGAGTGCATACCTACACCTTAGGATTTGGGAACTCTCCACTGTTCCACAGAATGAGATCCATAGGGAATAGGACTTAGGGAGTCTGGAAGGAAGGTCCCTAACCAAGCCAGACCTATCACCAGGAACGAAGCTACAATTGGGACACATATAAGAGGTAAATGCAAAGAGTATCAGTAGAGCAAAGGCCAGTCTTGAGGGTGTGTCTCCGTAGATTACATTCTGCCCTGAGGAGCCATCCCTGCTTTGGCATGGAAAGTGGCTCCCGTGTGCTGCTGAGCCTGCTCTCAGGTATGTGTCTCCTCCCTCTGAGCAGTGACGAAGCTATGGCAAATTCTTACTCTCCTTTATTCCCCCTCCAGGGTTCCACTGTGCTTTGATTTACTGTTGTCATCCTCATGTCTCTTCATTTTGACACTCCTCAGTAACATGCCATTATTTCCAAATATGGGGCCGTGACAGCACATGGGAGGTTTCCTTTGCTTCCTCCTAAAATTACCTTCAAGTTCCCCCACTGTACAGGTTATCCATATGTACAATATGCAGAGTCCTAGGAGCTTCTATTATAGAAGGTGACATCTTCCAACTTTGTCTCTAGGTTCTGACAGACATCTTCCTTCATTGACTCTTATCCTTGTGTCTGTTGACTACTAGTTGACTCAGTCAGTAGACAATGGAGAGAAATAAGAGGTAGATGTGGTGGATCTTATAGTCCATTTAATAAGTCACAAACTCCATATGTACCAGAGTACATCTACGTACTATGAGATGTTCTAGTGTCTGGCTATCTGAGTAGGCAAAAGGGCTATTCTATTGTCTTTTATTTTCCTTGGTTGTTGGAATGTCCATGGTGCTGAATCACCACTCTGTGCTCAGGAGGCCAGAGGGTTGAAAACAGCCCACATGTCCTTGGTGGGTGGATGGATGTGCAGATAGAATGGTTTACACATGGCTATATAAGGTACGGCCTGAGGTTGAATGTTGACCTTTTCTAGAAGCCAGAGAGTTACCTTTTCCTGGAAAAAGGAATTAGCCTGGACAGCTACTTATCATTAAATACTAAATACATTTCAATATACACCGTTTGAGGATTTCAAAACCAAATAGGGCTTTGCTCCTTGCGTAGGTGTTATTATACAGAGCCAAGCTCCTGGAGTGTTGCCAATTTTGTTAGATCACTAATTATGGAATAAGGTATCATTCCTAGGTATGTTAGAAGCAGAGCTATCGTTGGTCACTCCATTTCCAGAAGTAACACACAAAACTAGAATGTATTCTGGGATTTCTTTTTTGGCTTACTATTTACGGTTTGATATCAAGTCAAATGATGTTCATATCTGTTGCATCAATGGATGCATGCCAGACTTAGGAACCAGATATTTCACAAAATGTTTATATCTGACCTATACAAGTGTTATTTTATTAATAAATAAACTGAGACCGGGAGAGGATAATGAGTACCCAAGAGTGCCCAGCTCATGCAAGAACAAGTGAATGTTTCTACTTCCTCTCATTCCACATGGACTCAATACACACTTAGGAACATCCTTATAGTTAGAGATACAGAATCCACCAAAGTTGCTACAGAACACAAAATCCAAGGCAGAAACTTGGCTTTTCCAAAGTGAATGTGCTAATCTGTCCTGTTTTGAATCTCCTCTGAACTCAACTCATGCCTGCTAGAATTCTGCTATTAAAAAACCTCTCTATATCTAAAAGCACATGATTTGTTCCTCACTTCTCCCCTTCAAATATCACTTCTTATCTCTCATGGGACCCAATTTTCAGTTTATCTGTTCGTCAACCCAGTAGCCCATGTTGGAAGAGGAAGTTGTCATGAATTAGGAACATCAAGCCACAGTAGCCATCATAATTTTTAAGCCCAGAGAATGTTCTGTTCCTAACTGTTTGCTCCAGTTAACGTGGGCTGAAAGCAAGTCCACTGGCAACCACAGGCTCTCCAGAATGTCGGGTTTGAACTTGCCGTGTAGGGCCTTGCCACTCAAGTTGAGGACTAAAGGAGGAAGGGACTTCCTTTAGAGACTCCCGTGCTTCTTCAAAGTACCGAAGTATTTTGAGTGGAAGCCACTGGTAGATCTTCTGAGTCTCCCAGGTGGCTGTTTTAGGCTGCACTGTCTCTGCCTGGCTTCTCTTTGGAGGTCTCAGGTTCAGTCTTCACAGATCATGCACAGGAGCATGCGGGAAAGGCAGGGCTGAGGTGGGGGGGGGCTCTTAGGCCGACTGTAGCTTTAGGAGCAGTCTCTGCTTGCTCTAGATTACACCTCTGCGTGTGGTTATCGGTCTGCCTGCTTCGCTGCCTCATCCCCTTCTGCTTTTCATAATAAGCCACAAGCCTCACATTTAAGAGCTGTCTTCCCTTGATTACATACTTCTTAGGTTGGCTGCTTCCTGGAGACGTGTCAAGAGGCTTCATCTAGTTCATCGCTTTTCAATCTTAGCTGTACATCAGAATCACTGTTGAGGGGTGCCTGGGTGGCTCAGTCATTTGAGTGTCTGACTCTTGGTTTCGGCTCAGGTCATGACCTTAAGATTGTGGGATCAAGCCCCGCATCCAGCTGTGCGCTTGGCAAGGAGTCTGCTTGAGATTCTCTTTCTCCCTCTCCCTCTGCCCCTCCTCCTACTCCTTCTCTCTCTCAACTAAATCTTTTTCAAAAAGAAAAAAAAAAAGAATCACCTTTTTAAAAAGAAGATGCTTTAAAAATAAATACCAGTGCTCAGCCTTCATCCCTGAAGAGCTCTTGGGTGGGGCAGCTCCTTGGGTGACTCTCATGTTCATCCAGGGTTGGGAATGACTCATGTAAACCATCAAACCATCTCTAATTCCACTATAAGATCTTCAAAGAATTTCTCTGTTGACAGCTCATCCCATTCATAAGCCATAGATTCTTCTAAACCTCTTTCTTTTTTTTTAATTTTTTTTTTAATTTTTTATTTTTTATTTATTTATTTATTTTTTTATTTTTTTTTACTAAACCTCTTTCTTAGAGAAGAGTCATTGTATCCTCTATATGGATTTGGGGGTCTTTTTAAAAAAATTTTTTTTCATGAGAGACACAGAGAGAGAGAGGCAGAGACATAGGCAGAGGGAGAAGCAGGCTCCCTGCAGAACTTAATCCCAGGAACCTGAGATCACAACCTGAGCCAAAGGCAGACGCTCAATCACAGAGCCACCCAGTTGCCCCCTGGAGTCTTTTTTATTTTCAAAACCGGTACCCATCTGTTCTCAGACAATGGTTACCCTGGCCCTAGCTCCACTGGGCTGGGTTGCACTCGATGGGAAAGCATCAAGAAATTCATAGAGATACAGACCTGAAAGACAGAGCCACATGTTTTGATCTGTATTTCACTGCTTAACACCCAGCACCAAGCTCCGGGCATACCACGTAGAAGGCCCTGAATAACCCACTTGTTGGATGACTGGATAATTGTATTCCCTTGGCAGAATCAAACGCGGGTCACATGTGTAGTTAGTATTTATTGTGATTAAGAGGAAAAGACGGAAAAAAAGAGACTCCTGAGTGAGTTTTTCTGTTTGTTCTGTTTCTTCTATCAAATAGATACAGACATTGGGGGCTTTAGCATGAAAGACTTTGGGGGATGAATAAAAGCACAGCGCCCTCCCTATTCTGCGGGGCTCAAAGGCAGTGGCGGCCAGTTACCACATTTATAGACCCCCCCCCCCCCCGTTAGGGGTGAACTGTTCCAAATGTTGCCCTGGCCATGCCCAGGTCAGAATCCAGGAATGCTGTGGGTGGCTTTCAAGGCAGCAGGGGTCACTTGGACGCTGAAGACGGAAATGGGGTCAGCAGTGCAGAGAAGGTTCTGTGTAGGTCAGATAGAGAGCCCAACGCTTTTCAGTGGAATGGACCTTCCGGCCTCTTCCTGCCCCACCTTGTGACCCTCCAAGGTGCTCACTCATCCATCCAAGGCTATGAGGCACCTCGTACCCACCATTTACTTTCTAGCCAACTTCACCCTGGCTTGTGCTCCAGGTTCTCGAATGAACGGCTTCTGCAGAGATCACTGTTGTAACTGCTCAAGTCACTTGCTGGGCCCCTGCACGCCTTTCAGTTCTGTTGACCTCTCACTGCTCCCAACTGTTTATTCTGTGGCTTCCAAGACCACTGTTTGCCCAGTTAGCTCACTTAGCCCACCGGGGCGGGGGGGCAGGCCAGGGTCCCCCTCTCCCCCTCACCCCAGATCCAGTCCAGCCCTGAGTCCCGCCTGGGGGACTGTGTAGCATCCTGGGTGGATATTGTGTCCATTTCTGTTCTCTTCTTGCACTCACTAACACCACCGCAGGTGTGCAAAAGCCAACTCAGGTGCCTTCCTGCCCCCTGTCTCATCCCTGCCCCTAAATCCGTTTCGCCTGCTGCTGCTGTAGTGATCTTCCTAAAACACACAACAGATCATGTTTCCCCTCTGCCAACGATGTGCTTCTCACCACGACTTCCTCAGTGTGTGGCTCAGGGCTCTGTCGCCGGGCCTGGGGGGCTCCCCTGCCTCCCCTTACGCTGCCCCCGCTCTGTTCTGGGAGATTTTTGTCCTGGTGGTTCTTCGTGCTGGTGGTTCCCACCCAGCCCTCTCTGTCTTCCTTGCCTCCCCGATGTTCTTCCTTTACTGGCACCCCCTTCTCACCCTTTCTTCACCTGGCTGACTCTCTTGCACCCTGTATACTCAGGTCATGCACCAGCTCCCCCACCAGCCTTCCCTGGGATCCCCAGTTAGGACTCTGGGCCTGTCCATGCTCTCAGGGCATCATCTAGTGCCTTTCTCTCTCACTCTCTTGAAATCATGTCATGCGACACTGGAAGGTTCTACTGGCGTGGCTGTTTCTGAATGACACTCCCCTCTGAATCTAGGGGCCATGTCCTGTCCATCTTGGTGCCCTCAGTAGCTAGGACAGTGCTGCACACACTAGGGACTCATTACATGTGTTCTGAACCAGACAGAATGGAGATAAGGAAGTGTCGAGAATTCCCTCCGTTTCTGCCTTTGCCTTTGGCCCCTTTTTGGTTCCCTTCTAAAGGTTCTGGGGTCTGATCGCTCACCTGTGTTTGACTATCGCTGTTAAGGGAGACTTGAGGCCTCCCCTTAAAGGGGGCTTTGGTGGTTGCAGATGCAGCTCAATGTTGTCTGGACAGGGTCAGCGGCCACCACTTACAGGTGACTGCCCTCTGGGACTCAGGCTTCTACCAGGGCATCCCCATCACTGCCAGGGAACAGATTCTGGTCCTTCCAGAAGAAAGGACCTTACTCACCTTCCCCGTGGGGGCCTTCATCACCACGCCCCCACCTGCTAGTGGCTGAGGAAGCCCACTTATGGGGACAGGTGTGTGACATTTGAGGGACTACCGTGTGGCCTCAACTACCCTATTTTCCAGGACACCTCTCGTGCTGTACATGCAGACAGCCTGGTAATAATGTATTCCTTAAAACATCAGTCTCCCAACGACCGTAATTACAAGGCGTGTGTCCACTCTCGGGCTTTGTCAGGATCTGAGCTCAGTGCTTGTCGCAGCGAAGCTTAAATTCATTTACTGGTGAGATTCTCTTGCAGCGAATATCATATAAACTAGGCCCCCTGGTCAGTCACCACACTTCTGAATCCTGCCTCCCTCTGTCCCTCTGGGTCACAGATAGTTTGCTTTTTGCCAATGAGATCTGGGCACAGCTGGTCGACGCAACTCTTGTTCCAGATGGCCCATTTGGAAGCCTTGCCAGCATGACAAGCATCACCTGGTCTTTTAGCATGCTTTTCCCTTGGTCACATTTCTCTTTCCATAGCCCTGCTCTCATGAGGTTAGCCCAAGAGATAGTCTCAATCTTTCCTAAAGACACAAATTTGCGCTCTGCAAAGGTGAGCCATGGAGCTGTGGGGGGAAAAGAATTGGGGATCACAGCCTGAGGCCCAACGAAGCCTGTCCCCGGCAGATCCAAACGGCTGTCTTTCTCCAATGACAATTTGCCAGCTGTGGTTTCCCTTCTAACACAGGCGTCTTCGCTGCCTCCTGCATTTTCTGTAGGTGGCAGGTCCTGGATCCTATCCCGCCATAGTTCCAGGACTATTGTGTGGCTTTCTCAACGGGGGCCAACCCGGTGGGAGTTCACTCCTCTGACTTGGAGAAGGCCAGTCTTATCGGGGTGGTGAATGTAACGTATTCCCACTTAGGCACTTTGTTCAAACAAAGTTGCAGTGTCCCGTGGAATAGCAGCCCAAATAGCAGCGAGGTTAGATGTAGGTGGTCTCGGGCGTTGGGAGCTTTGGAACCACAGGCATCCCACATAACATGCTGGCTTTATAATAGAGTCACTCAGAGCCTCTCACAGACCCTGTTTTCAAGGAGGGAGCAGAGTGAACAGAGCAGGCTTTGTGCAGCTCCGGGCGGGGTGCTGACATCACCGGGCCCCCTCCTGTGGGGGGATGCCGACTGTCACTGTGGGCATGGACCATCACTCTTGAACTTGTCTGCTTCAAGAGCCTCTAGGTGGAGGTTTTTCTTGTCCTTTTAATGCCAAACAGCTGCAGAGGTGGGCCTGATTTTATCTGTGTATCCGATGACCTTCTCCTCCTCTTTGGGCTTCAGACCAACCTTTGGGCCCCAGAAACTATTGGAAGGGATCAAGTGCGATGATAGTTTACTCTCTCTGCTTCCCACCCATATCCTGTCCTTCCTCCTCACCTTTTTTCTCCATATTCCTTTGTTTCGATCAGTTACGTGGCAGTCCTGCTGAGCGGCCCTGGGTTCTGCCCCGAGCCCAGTGCTCCGGCCCTGGCACCACTCAGATAATGGCAGTCATTTCACCTTACTGGTTCAGATGACGCCACCACCCATTTGTAGAGCGACTCGCGGGTTTCCAGGGGCTCCCCCACCCAAATCTCCTTGGAAAGAGCTAGGTTGGTTTATCTTGCAACTCACATCATTGCTGGCCACCTCCTCCTGTCAACTAGGAATTGGTGACAGTTGGAGGCACAGAAATGGGGCCAGAAAGATGACAAGGCACCTTGGAGATGTCAGTCTGGGGCACGCAGGTCAGAAGCAGAGAGCAGACTGCTTCCAGTGTTCCTATATCTTTGAGACCTCTCCTCTCAATTCTGCATCTGGCAGCAGATTCTTTCCAGAACTGGATATGCTTTTCTTGTACAGTGTTGTCTGCCAAAGATTGGGCGATATGGTATGTGTGTGTGTGTGTGTGTGTGTGTGTGTGGTGAGAGAGAGAGAGAGAGAGAGAGAGAGAGAGAGAGAGTCCAGGGCAGACAGGGGCCGGGGCAGGTACCAAGGGTCCTGTGGAGTCTGCACTGGGGTGGTAGACAGTGACCCCTCACTGTGACCGCTCCCTCATGCTATTTGTCCCTCTCTTTCGGCAGGTCTGTGCGTGATGAGCGCAGCGTCCATCTACACGGTGAGGCACCCAGAATGGCATTTCAACTCTGACTACGCCTATGGCTTCACCTACATCCTGGCCTGGGTGGCCTTCCCGCTGGCCCTTCTCAGCGGTGTCATATACGTGATCTTGCGGAAACGTGAATGAGGCGCCCAGACAGTTGGTCTGAGGCACTGAGCATACATAGGGAAAGGGAGGAAATAAACCAGAAACCTGAAAAAAAAAAAAAAAAAAAAAAGAGCTAGCCAAAAAACCCAAACTCAAACCAAACCAAACAGAAAGCAGTCGAGGGGGGGGGGGTTAGTGTTGATTGAAGATGTATATAATATCTACGGTTTATAAAACCTATTTATAACACTTTTTACATATATGTACATAGTATTGTTTGCTTTTTATGTTGACCATCAGCCTTGTGTTGAATCTTAAAGACGTAGCTAAGGAACTTGACATCTTAACCGTATAATCAAGCTCAGTAGTTTTGTTCTGTGTTTTGTTCTTTTTGTTTTGCCCGGACATACAATAACTCCATCTTGCCCCTTCCCTTTTATCTGAAAGAAGATACCTCCCTTCCGCTCCACCTCATTCAGAAAACCGAAGTGTGGGTAGAAACCCCTGAATGGCCAAAACCCCTTAAACTGTGCGGGACCCAGTGCATTGTGCACAGAGACGGGCACTGCCCAGGCCTCCGTGCGAAGCCTCCCACTCACATGGATAAAACCCCCAAACTGGAGCCCTCGGCAAAAACAACAGCTTGTGGCTTTGGAATACTTGCCCTTGATGGTGGGTGTCTCAGTCACACGTCTAGATGAGAAATCGGTGACAACGAACCTATGAAATGGTGCTATGTATTTACCATTCCTTATTATCACTAATCATCTAAACTACTCACTGGAAATTCAATTAACGATTTTACGACATAAAGTAGAATGGAGACCTGAATAATTCTGTGTAATATAAATGGTTTATAACTGCTTTTGTACCTAGCTAGGCTGCAGTTATTACAATAATAAATGAATAATAAACACAGCCTTCATTGCTCCTACATTCTTCTTACGGTCGGAGCATGAGGACAAGCCTCTGGACCCCCTGGGACAGCGCATTCCCAGGGCTCAGCTGGGTCTAGACTGTTCTCTGCCTCCAAGGACTGTCTGGCAATGACTTGTATTGGCCACCAACTGTAGATGTATATACGGTGCCCTTCTGATGCTAAGACTCCAGACCTTTTTTTTTTTCGGCTTTGCTTTTTCTGATTTTATACCAACTGTGTGGACTAAGATGCATTAAAATAAACATCAGAGTAACTCACTGATCTCTCCTGGGATTTTGTGGGGACCTCGGTGGGGGTGGGATGTGTGTTTCAGAGCGGAGAGAGGAGCTGCAGCAGAGAGCAAGGTTGAGCTCATGGTCGAGGTTGCACTTTGGCTTGGCTTTCTTTATAGACTACAGGGAGCATGTCATGCCTCCCATAAGCCTATGCAAGATGTCTGCTAATTGGGGAGGCCTGGGAGTTGCAGCTGAAACAAACTGTAAATGGGCTGGAAGGGACTTGAATGTTTGTTTAGCTCAGCCCTCTCTCTCGTGGTCTTTTCTGTGATGAGCCACGTGGGGACCATGGAGGCATGTCATGCATTTGCCTAACCTATGGAGAATGTTGGCGTGAGCAGCACAGTCCCCTGACCTGTAAAAGGAGGGGACGTATGTTTTGGCAGAAAGTCTACATGATGATGACTTGAGGCCACACTTTCAGGTTACTAGGCATCAACTAAGTGCCTGATGTGGTCCTGAGGGAGGGCACAGGCCGACTGTGTCATCTAGCTCCAGTGTTCTGGGGTGTGTCTCACCCGTAGATGTTTTTACCCATTGACATTATATTGCACGTGTGTAAAACATTGAGCTCACGATGCACTCAACGTTGATCCAATTCTCATTGAGTACCTACATTGAACTGGGCATCAGGTATCGAGAAAGGATCATATACACTTTTTAAAAAAGATTTATTTATTTTTGAAATACCATGTGTGGAGAGAGGGGCAAGGGGAGAGGAAGAACGAATCTCAAGCAGACTGTGTGCTGAGCATAGAGCTTGGCACTGGGCTCGCTCCCAGGACCCTGAGATCAGGACCTGAGCCAAAATCAAGAGTCGGATGCTTAACTGACTGAGCTACCCAGGTGCCCCTGGAATCATATACCTCTTAATCACAAAGGGTAATATTTTAGTGAGAGGCATAGGCAAACAATTATATTGTAATGAAGAACATATAGATTAGGCTTCTTGGGTTTGAACCTGCTCTCTGCCCCTTACCAACTGCAGAAGGCTATTCAAACTCTAAGATTCCATTTCCTCATCTGTAAAATGAACATGCCAGTGCCAAATTTATGGGATTGTAGAGATTAAAAAAAGATGGAATATATAAAGTGCTTAGTATAGTGAGCAGTAGGTAGAAAGCCTTCTGTAAATCAGTGGTTATCAGAGATGCAATGTTTGAGGTGTATCACAAGGAGACGTTGATTATTCTGGGAAATTTGCAATTCTAGGCCCAACATTAGAATCTCCCATGCAGGGGCCACCACAGAGATTTGGATTCCTTCTGTCTGTGTTAGGTCCCACCCTGCCTTGATGGATTTAAGGGACCCTGCAGGTGATTACAGTGCGTAGCCAGGATGACCAGCCAGGAGCTAGTCAAGTGCTTTTCAGGACTTCAGTGTGCTGAGGAATCACCTGGGAATCCTATGAAATGCAGATCTGGTTCAGTAGGTCTGGGGTGGGGACTGAGGTTCTTCATTTCCAATTCGTGCCTAAGTGATGCTGATGCTCCTGGTCCATGGACAACACTTTGAGGAGCAAGCGCCAGAATAAAGCCACCTTCAGGCACCTCGTGCTCTTGTGTCTTTGAACATCTATGATGGGAAGGCCTCCCCCTTTCCAGGTTTTCAATGATGATAAGCTAACTCTGCTTGTGACTTGGAGAGATGGGGTCAGGTGGCACAGATTGCTACAGGAGCATGTGAGACAAGTAATTGGGAAAACTAGGGACTTCAGGAGCTTGTACCTTGAAAAGTATACTTTCATTTCATAAACCTTCCTTTATAATATTTACCTAAAAATTAAAAATGTATACATGTAAGAATAAAGAAAATCAAAAGTGGCCCAAATCTCCCCACCTAAGTAATATTTTGGCAAAAAAAAATATTTTGGCAAAAAAAAAATAGTTTGGCATTGTAACATCCTAAAGACATCTAGGGGGAAAAATAATGTGTGAAAGCCTCTTTCTGCCCTCCCCAGTCTCTTGCCAAAGATAACCTATAAAACATAGCTTATGATGTCTTCCATGAAAAAAGACAATGCCCATATATAGAAATCCATAAGTATTTAAAAACTGTACACCAAAGTGGGGGTACTTGGGTGGCTCAGTTGGTTAGGTGTCTAACTCTTGATTTCAGCTCAGGTCTTGCACTCAGGATCATGAGTTTGAGCCTGACATTGGACTCCACACTGGGCATGGAGCCTACTTAAAAAAAATAATGTATACCAAAGGGATCAAACTGCTTATGCTGTTCTGTATCATGCTGTTCTTTTCATATCAGCATATACTTCATTATTTTCAATGAGCTCAGTTTAATTCTTTCAAAATTCTGCATTAGTATTTTATTGTGTAGCTATACCAACCTTACTGAGCCTTGGCTCAAAGATTTTTGCCTGGGTAGAATAGTTTCTACTCTCCTTCCAAGGAATAGACTTCATCTGTACCAAAGAGTGAAGAAGTTCAAGCCTCAAGGTGCTCTCAAGAATAATGGAAGTGCTGGGGGAAGACTGTGAGAGGAGATTCAAGACACACTCTAAACTGTAGGCTAGTTGGTTTGCAGGAGAGAACAAGAGAACCCTACAGATCGAAGGAACCCTCTGGAATCAGAACAAAAAATCAAACCTTGACTTCAAAAACTATTCCTTTAAAGGAGTAAGGATTGACTGGATTAGTTTGTAGATCAATTTATGTATTTTAAGATTTTATTTATTTATTCATGAGAGACACACAGAGAGAGGCTGAGACATAGGCAGAGGGAGAAGCAGGTTCCCAGTGGGGAGCCCAATGTGGGACTTGATCCCAGAACCCCAGATCATGACCTGAGGCAAAGGCACACGCTCAACCACTGAGCCACCCAGGCATCCCTGTAGATCAGTTCATGACCCAGGACATTGTTGAAAACAGTGGAGAAGCCAGCAGTAAATCAATGGGGTCTAACAGTGGGATGTGGTCTGGAAAATAGAGAAAGAGAAGCTTCCTGAATCTCTTGACATCCCAGGGTGACAATGAGCATTCCAAAGCTGTGCTTCCCTGAAGAACAACATCAGAGGCTAAACACTGGAGAGGAAAGAGATCTCACTAAAATAATCTAATCAGTTACTGAATACAAGCATACCTCATTTTATTGTGCTTCTCTTTGCAGATCTTGAATTTTTTTACAAATTGAAGGTCTGTGACACTCTGCGTTGAACAAGTCTATCAGCACCATTTTCCCAACAGTATTGGGTCATTTTGTGTCATTATATCATATTTTGATAATTTTAGCCATATTTCAAACTTTTTCATTATCACATTTGTTATGGTGATCTGTGACCAGTGATTATGATTTGCTCAAAGCTCAGATGGTAGCATTTTTTAGCAGGAAATTATTTTAAAGTGTATCCATTAGGTTTCATATGTATAACATCATTGCACACTTAGTAGACTACAGTAGCGTAAACACAATTTTTATATGCATAGGGAAACAAAAAAACCCACTTGACTTGCTTTATTATGATATTTGCTTGATTGTGGTGGCCTGAAACAGGACCTGTCATATGAGGTATGCTTGTAATTAAACAAACGAATAACAGTAGCAGAGTAGGGAGAGCCATATCCAGAGTTGCTATAATATATTTATTTATTATCTAAAATATCCAGTTTCCAACAAAAAATTATGAGGCATGTGAAGAAACAGGAAATATGACCCATACACCAGAAAAAAAGCAGAAAAACTGTCCATGAGAGAGACTAGATGTCAGATTTATCAGAAAAAGACTTTAAAGTAGTCATCATAAACATGTTCACACAATGAAAGGAAATCATGATTAAAGAAGTAATTGAAGGTATGATAACAATTTGCATCAGATAAAGAATATCAATAAAGAGATGGAAATTATGAAAAAGGAACAAGTGGAATTATGTTGTTGAAAAGTACAATAATGCAAAAATCATGACATCTCAATCAATAGACTTAGAAAAATCATTTGACAAAATCCAATGCTCTTTCATGATAAAAAAATCCAACAAAATAGGAATAAGAAGATATCCACAACCTAATAAAGAACATCTATAAAAAAAACCATGCCTCACATCCTATTTATTGGAAAAATATTGAATACCTCCCCTTTAATATCAGGAACAAGACAAGGATGTCTGTCTGTGATTACAACCTCTATTTAACATTACCTTGGAGGTTCAGCTAGGACAATTAAGAAAATTAGGTTAAAAAAATCAAGATTAAAATGGAAGACTAAAATTATCTCTATTTACAAATAAATGATCATGTATACAGAAAATCCTAAGTAATCCAATAAAAGCTCTTAGAATAAATGAATTTAGCAGAAGCAGGACAAAATGTCAATGTACAAAAATCTATTGTATTTCTATATTTGCAATGAACAATTCAAAAATGAAATAAGAATGCAATTCCACTTAGGATAGCATTTATTTATTTATTTTTTCAACCAACAAGTTTTTATTGGGTTCTTGTAATGTCAGCCAACTCTTGCTTGTGGAAGAGTTTTTCCTGTTACGTTTTGTAATTTTGGATCATAAACTCATCCTCAGCAAGGTTTTATGCATGAGAATATTGTGCATCTTTGGATGAGAGTATGCCCCAGTGGTATCACTGGCCCACAGTATTATTATTATTATTATTATTATTATTATTATTTTTTTTTTTTTATTATAAATTAATTTTTATTGGTGTTCAATTTACCAACATACAGAATAACACCCAGTGCTCATCCCGTCAAGTGTCCCCCTCCGTGCCCGTCACCCATTCACCCCCACCCCCCGCCCTCCTCCCCTTCCACCACCCCTAGTTCATTTCCCAGAGTTAGAAGTCTTTATGTTCTGTGTCCCTTTCTGATATCTCCCACACATTTCTTCTCCCTTCTAGGATAGCATTTAAAAAGATAAAGTACTTAGGAATAAATTTATCAAAAAAGGTACAAAACTTATAGTGAGAATTCTAGAACAGTGATGAAGACATTAAAGACAATCTAAATAATTGGAAAA